TGCCTTTCAGCGTTCGTCTACTCTTAAAAATACAGCGCAGGACGGGTTGTACAATGAGGCAATGTTGCGTGTGGAGTGTGAGCTACGTAGGTACATTCAGGCTGACTGTCTCGCCTGGGACAACTGGAGACTTGTTAACACACACGAACCCTCTGTCCGCGGCAGGCGCAAACCCGTGGGTCGTATCAGCCAGTGTAAGAGATAGCGCCGAGGAGTGTATGTTGGGAAAACATACACTCGCAGAATGAGGACTCTTAGGTAGTAATTCTTCATCAGCGTGGGAGGGAGGCGTGGATCAACAAGCTAGCGGAACTAGTGTCTCACAATCCGTGATGAAAATAGCTCGCTTGATAAACATACCATTCACGAGGAATTTGAGAGTGGACTGTTAAAAGAACTGGGAGGTACAGGGGCTGGCGTGGGGCTGTTGTGAGCAGACATGTTCTCTGTGGGTTATGAGTCGTTCACATGAGTTTTGAACGCTGGAGGGCGAAGCTTCAAACTTCTATTTGAACAAGTTCTCGCTCTATTTATAGCGAAAACTTTTAGACTGATACGTCGTTTAAATAAAGTATTGTTGTGCATACATAGATCTTCAACCACAGGGAAAGAGTTGGAAATCTATGTGAAGAGGTCTGAGAAGAGGTCTGGGAAGAGGTCTGGGAAGAGGTCTGGGAAGAGGTCTGGGAAGAGACTGGGAGACCAATATTAGTCGAACTGATAGAATCTCTATCATATTGCTTATTGTCCCAGTAATATAACGAGTGAATGTGCCTTAACCGCTGTCAGTCCAACAGCCAGACATACATCTGGAGTTTACCTGGAGAGAGTTCCGGGGGTCAACGCCCCCGCAGCCCGGTCGACTATATATATATATATAATATATATATATATATATATATATATATATATATATATATATATATATATATATATATAATATATATATATATATATATATATATTATATAATGCGTGTGTGTGTGTGTTGTGCCGAAGAGGCAAAACTTGCGATTTTGGCTTAAATAGCAACTCTGTTTCTTCCGAATAAGACAAGCGAAAATTTGTGTATGCAATAATTTCGCAAAAATCATTCTGAAACTAACGAAAAAATACATTTTATTATGTTTATTTATTATTAATTTACTGTAAACTTATCTAAAATATATTTATTTGGATTAGGGTAGATTAAATCCCGCTTGATATAATAAGGTTAGATAAGTTTTCTAAGATTCTTTTGGTACAAAATTATTAATTTTTACATTAACATAAATGAAAAAATATATCTTTAAACGTTTATTATTATTAACACATCGTCCGTTTCCCACCAAGGCAGGGTGGCCCGATAAAGAAAAACTTTCATCATCATTCACTCCATCACTGTCTTGCCAGAGGCGCACTTACACTACAGTTATAAAACTGCAACATTAACACCCCTCCCTCAGAGTGCAGACACTGTACTTCCCATCTCCAGGACTCAACTCCGGCCTTCCGGTTTTCCTGAATTCCTTCATAAATCTTACCTTGCTTACCCTCCAACAGCATTTCAAGTCCTGAAAGTTCAAGCCCCTCGCACACAAAACCTCCTTTATCCCCCTCCCTCCAACCTTACCTAGGCCGACCCTTACCCCGTCTTCCCTCCACTACAGATTTGTACACTCTCGATGTCATTCTATTTTGTTCCATTCTCTCTACATGTCCGAACCATCTCAACATCTCCTCAGTCCTCTTGATAACAGTTTGGTAATCTTGCGCCTCCTCCTAATTTCCATACTATGAATTCTCTGCATAATATTCACACCACTCGTTGCTCTCAGACATGACATCTCCACTGCCTCCAGCCTTCTCCTCGTTGCAACATTCACCACCCATGCTTCACACCAATATAAGTGTGTTGGTATAACTATACTCTCATACATTCCCCTCTCTGCTTCCATGGGCAAAGTTTTGTCTCCACAGACTCCTACGTGCCCCACCTTTTTTGCCTCGTCAATTCTATGATTCACCTCTTTCATAGACTCAACTTCTGACACGTAGACTCCTAAATATATGAATACATTCACCTCCTCCATACTCTCTCCCTCCAATCTGATATCCAATCTTTCATCACCTAATCTTTTTGTTATCCTCATAACCTTACTCTTTCCTATATTCACTTTTAATTTTCTTCTTTTACATACTCTACCAAATTCATCCACCAACCTCTACAACTTCTCTTCAGAATCTCCCAAAAGCACAGTGTCATCAGCAAAGAGCAACTGTAACAACTCCCACTTCGTGTTAGATTCTTTATCTTTTTAACCTCACACCTCGTACCAAGACCCGAGCACTCACTCTTACAACAGCATTTATAAATATACTGAACAACAACATGACATCACACATTCTTGTCTAAGTTGGCAAATCAGTTCTTAAGCGATCCAAATTCAAGGAAAAACTTCGTCTGAGTGACACGTACCATCTCTACAAGTTTCCCACCCAGAGGCTGCATTCTTCAGCCATTACACAGAATACACCAGTTTAAAGCACATGAAGTATTGTAATTAACTGGAAAGTTTAAACCTTCTCAGTTTAAGCCCCAAAATGTATCATCTTGTACTATGTCAATAAAGATTCAAGCTGCCCGAAAAAAAAAAAAAATAAAAAATTTTTTTTATACAAATAGCCAGACATCTGAGCACACCAACAATAATAGTAATACCAGTTTTCCAAGTCGGATACACCAGCGTTGAAAGTTTCAAGCCGATCAGAAGAGGCTTTCTCAAGTTATCGAGAAGAAACCGAAAAGAACAAGTCACAATACCCTGACTGGAACAATATACAAATAAACAGAACATAGGAGAGAGAGAGAGAGAGGCTTATGACGACGTTCGGGTCCGACTTGGACAATTTACAAAGTTACGGTGTGACTGTAAACTATACAAGTCGGACCGAAACGTCGTCGTAAGCTCATCTTTCCTATGTGCGGGTTATTCATGAAAACCAGAACCAAAGATTGTCTATACAAATTTAACTAGAGTGCACCAGCAAGTAACAGTTGCGTCATGAGTCGTACACTAGTTACAGTGCACCAGCAAGTAACAGTTGCGTCATGAGTCGTACACTAGTTACAGTGCACCAGCAAGTAACAGTTGCGTAATGAGTCGTACACTAGTTACAGTGCACCAACAAGTAACAGTTGCGTCATGAGTCGTACACTAGTTACAGTGCACCAGCAAGTAACAGTTGCGTCATGAGTCGTACACTAGCTACAGTGCACCAGCAAGTAACAGTTGCGTCATGAGTCGTACACTAGTTACAGTGCACCAGCAAGTAACAGTTGCGTCATGAGTCGTACACTAGTTACAGTGCACCAGCAAGTAACAGTTGCGTCATGAGTCGTACACTAGTTACAGTGCACCAGCAAGTAACAGTTGCGTCATGAGTCGTACACTAGTTACAGTGCACCAGCAAGTAACAGTTGTGTCATGAGTCGTACACTAGTTACAGTGCACCAGCATGTAACAGTGGTGTCACGAGTCATTCCATAATTACAGTGCACCAGCATGTAACAGTGGTGTCACGAGTCATTCCATAGTTACAGTGCACCAGCTTTGAAAATCTGAAGCTGATCAGAGGAGACAAGTTATGAACGAAAATTTTGGAGGCAGAGAAAAAAATCAGACACTAACTTTTTAGGCTAGATAATTAGAACCTCTAGAACAAGAGTATTTTTTTAAGTAATTTTTTCTGTCTAGACTAGAATACTGATGTACACTAATGGCCCCTTTTTAGGCAGGTGAAACTACAAAATGTACAGAGAATCTTCACTGCTAATGGAAACCAAAACTCCAAAATTATAGGGAACACTGGAAGCCCCAATGACTACACTCCCTGGAAGATAACACAAGAGAAATACATAAGTTACACCTGGAAAGTTCTGAAGCGGTTGGTCCCAAATCTGCTTCTGGAATAACTCCAGAAGCAATGGACTCCGTAGGTGTTGCATAATACTCCCCGTGAAAACCAGGAATTCAATGAGTACACACAGAGGTAATTCAGTAAGTGTTAAGGGTCTCAGCACTTTTCTACACCTTCGCTTCATACAAAAGAACCTCCAATGAACTACATTGTTGCGAAAAGTCTCATGCAAACAGAAGATCCGTTTTGAGAGGTACACGGGGTTTATAGAGGTACACGGGGTTTATAGAGGTACACGGGGTTTATAGAGGTACACGGGGTTTATAGAGGTACACGGGGTTTATAGAGGCACACGGGGTTTACAGAGGTACACGGGGTTTATAGAGATACACGGGGTTTATAGAGGTACACGGGGTTTATAGAGGTACACGGGGTTTATAGAGGCACACGGGGTTTATAGAGGCACACGGGGTTTATAGAGATACATGGAGTTTATAGAGGCACAAGGGGTTTATAGAGGTACACGGGGTTTATAGAGGTATGCGGGGTTTATAGAGGCACACGGGGTTTATAGAGGCACACGGGGTTTATAGAGATACATGAGGTTTACAGAGGCACAAGGGGTTTATAGAGGTACACGGGGTTTATTGAGGCACACGGGGTTTATAGAGGTACACGGGGTTTATAGAGGTACACGGGGTTTATAGAGGTACACGGGGTTTATAGAGGCACACGGGGTTTACAGAGGTACACGGGGTTTATAGAGATACACGGGGTTTATAGAGGTACACGGGGTTTATAGAGGTACACGGGGTTTATAGAGGCACACGGGGTTTATAGAGGCACACGGGGTTTATAGAGATACATGGAGTTTATAGAGGCACAAGGGGTTTATAGAGGTACACGGGGTTTATAGAGGTATGCGGGGTTTATAGAGGCACACGGGGTTTATAGAGGCACACGGGGTTTATAGAGATACATGAGGTTTATAGAGGCACAAGGGGTTTATAGAGGTACACGGGGTTTATTTAGGCACACGGGGTTTATAGAGGTACACGGGGTTTATAGAGGTACACGGGGTATATAGAGGTATGCGGGGTATATAGAGGTATGCGGGGTATATAGAGGTATGCGGGGTATATAGAGGTATTCGGGGTATATAGAGGTACACGGGGTTTATAGAGGTACACGGGGTTTATAGAGGTACACGGGGTTTCGTTCATATGTAGTGAACTTTGTCGACAAAAAGTTCACTACATATGACCGAAACGGTTCTTCTGTTTTCTTAACTCTTACTATCACTACTTGTGTGTTGCGACACACAACTTTTCAAAAGCGAATTTGTTAAGTCCCCCAAGTCAGTTCCTGATCATCCTGGCTGTGGTGCTTACATTGGTCTTGGTGTAATTTGCACCAACAACAGTGATCCCAGGAACTGTCATTAAGTAAATTACAAATAAACTACAGGTATACATCATTCATAAGTCACTATACATATAGTACACAACATGAAGTTGGAGCCAACCACTGAGCCATATTTCGTTTGTTATATTTACTTTATTTCTCTGATGTATACACTATGTGATGTATACACTGATGTATACACCATTCGAAACTATTTAAACGCGAGTCAGTCAAGGAAAGAATGATTACTCATTGAGTAATGACTTTGAGAAGAGCATATCCAGAGTAAGGGTGCTGATGGTTGCCCGTCGTGTGGCGTAATACCTGTCTTGTGGCTGTCCAGTGTTGTGCAAGTGAGGGACCGTAAGAAAATATGACTTGTTCATAACAGTAAGATAACCGACATCTCTCTGGTGTTGATAAATTTGCTGAAATTACAGGTTCAAAGAGGCCGGGACGAGGCAAGAGAGGAGTCGCTTGCACGGTCCTCTGCCTTACCCAGAAGGCGGAGATGGGGTCTTGGCAGACAGTTCAAGAGCGTGGTGCATATTGAAGGTGAGAGTGAACTTATGCCTCATATATATATATTGTTGCAGCCTTTGTTGTCCAGCAAGTTCGAATGGCAACTTACGCTATAAGCTTTTTGGCTGCATTGCTTGCAAGTATCAACACATGGGTCTTCATAATCACTGCCATCACATTTCACCACGAGGAAATCACCGTAATCAAGGGTGAAGACTTTCCTATTTTTTATTATCCTAGCTCCAGTGGTAACCTCATGCTGTCTGCAGATCATCATTTGTATATTCTCAGAAGCTGTTGTAACCTGTGATCACTTGCACCAGGACGATGATTGATGTACCTGTGGTCGGTGTACATCTCTTTCATTGAATACAGTAAGATATTAGAGTTAGATCATGCGCAGAGGCATAAAATTTGTTGATAAGGTGAAGTAGGTAGTTTAAGAATACATTCCATAACGCTGGACCAACAATACTCCACTGTGGAATGTTGGCATTGATCTGGATGCTTAAAAGACTGCTGAGTTAAGAGCTACTCCAGAGGTATATTTTTTTTTTTTTTGGGGGGGGGGGGGAATCTCCCTTGCCAAAGGGAGATTCAAAGAGTCAAAGACATTTAAAATGTCCAGTGCGGTTACACATCTGACCATGGATTCATGCATTAAATGGTGCGTCATAGTGGAGAGTCAACAGTGGATGGACTACAGTGGTTCTTTATTGACAGTCACTAGGAATAATTAATAGAAATAACAATATCATTTGTCAAAAGAATCTTCTAAGGATTTTGCCAGTGTTTGACATGAATCGACTTTTCTTTTTGCAGAAAGGGTAGTAAATTGATCGTTCACCCCCCCCCCTCATCAAAAGTCATTTACGATTTACAGTAGATATCTCATAAACATGCAAGATTTTAGGTACGTCTTGTTACTTCTACTTACACTTAGGCCATATTACACATGCATGTACAAGCATATATATACATACCCCTGTGGGTTTTCTTCTATTTTCTTACTAGTTCTTGTTCTTGTTTATTTCCTATCTCCATGAGGAAGTGGAACAGAATTCTTCCTCCCTATGTTATGCATGTCGTAAGAGGCAACTAACATAACGGGAGCAAAGGGCTAGTAACCCCTTCTCCTGTATACATTACTAAAGTTAAAAAGAGAAACTTTTGTTTTTCTTTTTATGCCCCCCCTGCCTCGGTGGGATACTGCCAGTGCGTTGATAGATGAAGAAGAAGTTGTATTTGTTAAGACATATAAAAAAATGTTAAGCTCTCTTTGTTCGGGTCCACAGGTACGAATGGAGGTTGACTGGGTCTGGTATTTGCATTTTAATTATGAAATGGTCAGCAAGCATACCAGACTTTCCTGATTACTGGCACCAACAGTCATATTTTGTCGATTAAGATGCAGAGTTACTTCAGCTGGTGAATATATATATATATATATATATATATATATATATATATATATATATATATATTATATATATATATATATATATAAACTGCATTGTAACGTTGCTTGCAATTAAATTCGTATCTGCATAAACAACTCATTACAGATGTTTCCAGGTCTGAAATTTGGAAATAGTCTGTGTCCACTGTAACTCTCTTGGGTATCAAAACTCTGGGACCCGGTCTCTTAATCCAATATGTGCCTCTGTAATTTTTTGACTACCACCCTTAGGATGGGTATGGTGCCTCTGCAAGCTGTTGACTGCCTCCCACAGGATGGTTATGACGTGCATAATAACCCTGTTAAACCATTTGCGTCATGTTTACTTGGTTCTCAGTGCAGCTTGATGTCCGGTATGGAAGAGTGAACATCCTGTGATGCCACGTAGAGGTCCTCGATATCCTGCTACTAATGAGAAAGTTTCTCATATTCCAGACGAAAAAAAATAAGCGACCATTTGGGTGGGGTGATTGCAACGAGTCTGTGTCAGGTATTAAAGGAGTAAATAAACACTGATGGAGAGATGCCCTTGAAGGGTACAGCCAGAGTAGGACTTAGCTTGTCCCTCTCAAGGACATAACTCTGCAATCATTCATTCCAACATTCGTTACGGAAATTCACTTTAGTTAACTGTCTCACTTCTCATATGTGAATCTCTCAGTCGTGTGACATTGGAGTGTGAGAATGAAGACAAATCATCACTTTAGTGTTCTTGACTGCTCGGTAATGTGAAAATTTCTTCTAAAGAGAACTATTGATAATTGGCTCGAGGCCTTCCGCCGATTTACTGGTTCTTTGTGTAAAAAAAAAAACTCGTATCTAATCCTCACTACACAACTTTCAGAGCAAAGAAAATCTTTCCTTATGATGGAAATTAATAAGACCACAAGTGCAGCACCTTCACTAGTTGAAGCCTAAATAACTGACGTCTTATAATAGTCAATATCTAATAACACTAAAACTTGAGCTATGAAACAATTGAATTAAAGAAAATTGAAATAACTCACTTGGTACTAATTGACTTTTTCGAGAAGGAACTTCAGTCCACTGACTTGCCACGTATATATTATCATGTATCTCTATAGTCTGTTCCAGTTAGTACATACGAGTTTTTAGAATTAGAAGCATTCCCAGTAATTGAAATGTTTCATTGGTTCTATACGGGCAGTAAAGTATCTCCTGCACTAAAGGCAGCCATCAGCACTAAACGGTACTTACCTTTCATATACAATATACCTTCTGAGTTCTCTATTCTTCCCGTGTCTAAGAAGCTGGAACTTGTCACCAGTGACTGTCGTGTTATCCTAAGCTGCCTACCGGGACACTATGCTTCTTCATTCTTGCATTTTTTCCGTGTTTTCTACTGCGTTGATTTTTCATGTTTATTTTGGTATCCGCAGATGATACGAAGCCGAGCCAAATGTTGTTATGAGGGAAAGAAACTGAAGGTGCCAGGACTGCGCCTTGCGGTACTGTATGTATGTCAAATATTCGCCAGGACTGGAGTCCTGGAACGGGTCTTAGTCTTATGATGACTCGTCTCTAACACCCGAAGGAGAATTGGTTGTGTAATGTTGCAGTATGTGCTACTCAAGCATTGTTCCGGAGAGTGCATCTGGTGCACAGGTGTCTGCAGTCTTTGAGTTCCTGGCACGAACACTGGTTCATATACATACCTATGCTGGATACATATACACATGAATAAGTATATTCAGAGATATATTCATTCATAATCACTCGAGGTATTAGCTGTTTATTTTGCTAATCATTACGAACACAGGTACAGATAAAAGGCCTCTGGTACCTGGCTGTAAGTCAATTCACAAGTTAAGGAACGAACCAAGTGTAACAAAGGCAGAGGCATACACCAGAGGTAGCTTTTGAGTCCCTGTACATTTCCACCACCAGTATTTACAACATGTATAGAGTATAACAGAGCAGTGGGGTAGGCAGATACCATTCAGATAAGAATTATAAGTGAGAGCGCTTAGTGAATTGTCTCATTGCTAATAATTTATGCATAGGGGACTAATATATATATATATATATATATATATATATATATATATATATATATATAATTATATATATATATATATATATATATATATATATATATATATTATATATTTAATATATATATATATATATATTATATATATATATATATATATATATATATATATATATATATATATCCAGACCAGAGATTTAGATATGTCAATTTATCTGGAGTAAACGTCTAACTTTGGTGTACATATAAACAGGCAATCATGCACAGAGCAGTTTGGTGACCCAGTAACTGAACAGTCTATTACCGCCAGCTTGGCTGATTAGAGGAAATGCAAGAGGAGGTTGCAAGAGTTGCACCCCGATGAAATGTAACATGGTTGGATGATGCCACCCCTCCCCCCGCAGATCACTATTGCAGCTGGGGGTCTTATTGCATCCTTCAGATGGGCAGCGTGCCACCATGGCAAAAATAAAGAAAACTTGACTTTTCTTTTCTTCCCACCTACCCAGCTGGTAATACCCAACCGAGAAATAATTGAAAAAAATATGAAAAAAACATTTCTTTTTAAAGCCAAGTGACTGCAAGTGTCACGGACCTTTGTGACACTTGCAGTGTGTTCCCTCACTAAAAAAAAAAAAAACAGCAAAAAAGTTAGAAGTAAATAAGGAAATATATTTTTTTACTCAGTTACCCATCATAATCCTAACCAATAGTACAATAATACACAGGATAGTAGTCAGTCTAACACTGTAGTCTTATCATGTGGGAGTTCGAACACGCGGATTGGGTAAAGTAATACTCACGTAGGCTGGTAGTACGTATAATTACAGATAATGTGGAGAGCGCCCTTACAGCCGTACCTATCTCTCTGCTCTCTCTCGTATAACTGACTGGCCGCCCACAGTACCCATATGTGAGGGGGTCTTTGAATACTGCTAGGTCAGCACAATATGAATAGACAGTGACTCAGGCAGAGACGGTTGGTAGGAGTCAACTACTGGTACACTGGTTACTGGTAACTGGTTACTACTACTGAGAGTCTTATCTTGAGATATGTCAGTGTTATGTTGTAGGGTTCAAGGTTTAAGGTCAGTAACACGTTAAAGGAGTGTTCATAATTAACATGGAGTAAGGTCAGTGAGCTGGACAATATGGAGTAAGGTCAGTGAACTGGACAATATGGAGTAAGGTCAGTGAACTGGACAATATGGAGTAAGATCAGTGAACTGGACAATATGGAGTAAGGTCAGTGAACTGGACAATATGGAGTAAGGTCAGTGAACTGGACAATATGGAGTAAGGTCAGTGAACTGAACAATATGGAGTAAGGTCAGTGAACTGGACAATATGGAGTAAGGTCAGTGAAGTGGACAATATGGAGTTAGGTCAGTGAACTGGACAATATGGAGTAAGGTCAGTGAACTGGTCAACATAGAATAAGGCCAGTGAACTGGACAACATGGAGTAACTTCAGTGAACTGGACAACATGCAGTAAGGTCAGTGAACTGGACAACATGCAGTAAGGTCAGTGAACTGGACAGCACGGAGTAAGGTCAGTG